GGGGGGGGGAGGTAGGTTGAGGGGGGGGGAGGTAGGGGGGGCTTGTGTCCGATGCACTCTCGGCTGGAGAGGCGAAGTCCAACGCTGCGAACGCGCTGCTGCTGTCGAAGGCTTGGCAAAGCAAATAATCCAAGGGCAACAGCATCAAATTTCACAGCCGATGTCTCCGCGGACGCTACACATGTTGATGTTCAAAATCAGTCTGATTTTAACAGTGGCTGTTCGATTGGAGCCTTGCAGTGTCAGGTTTTGGGGGAGGATTTGGGAGTCTGTTCCAGCTTATGTCGAGCACGTCGGCCATGAATTTCAGCCGTAATTCACACGACTGATTGGCTGCATCTAAGACTCTCAGCGTATGCTGGTTGTTGTGATGCCACCCCCTGCCCTTTGGGCAGGAATTGGAGGCATTCCTTGCGGAACTGTCGAAGGAAGCACCTGATCCTGCGAGGCAGGAATGCAGGTCACCCGTGGTTTTGTACACAAGGTTGGCATTGTCCATAAAGAGTTTTCGGCTCTCAAGTCCAAGCCTTGTCAATGGCTGCACAATTTTTCTGCGACCAATCTACTCTAGAAAGCCAATGCTAGTTGCAGCTGAGGTTTGAACAACTGTTTGATCTGTTTGAAGCTGTTAGTTCCGCTTGCGCTTGAAGGACGATCGACAGCACCACCGGCGTGCAGCCGCAGCCGTGGTCCGAACAGGTCCTTCACAGGAGACTTGTACGGCAAGACAGGCCAACAGTAGATCAAGTAGCTTAGCTTTCAGTAGTCCTTGGGGGGCAGTGGTGAAGTGCTCATCTGGATTGGTATGGGTACCTGTGGCTTTGGTGGCCTGAGATTTGTCTTCTCAGGCTTTTGCACGAGCTCTTGCAGAGCCTTGGCTGTTTAGGCAATTCCAGATTGAACTGTAGGGAAGTTCGTAGCTGTGGCTTGCGACCGAGTGTAGTACTTCAGCTTGCCAGTGATCCGCGCAACAGACACCTGCCACACAACTGGTTCGACATGTCTGAGGAGAAACCCCAAGAAGGACGACATTATCTGTACCTTCGAGGCTTTTTTGCCCGTGCTGCAACCTAGCGAAGCCAGGATTTCAAAGTCCTTGAGCCTCCGAGCCAGGAATTGGATGAAGGCTTCGTTTGCTCAATGCGCCTCCCCGTTCTGGAACGTCTACCGGCCTGCAAAGGCAAGCCGGCACCCTCCAGGCGCTCGGCTCGCATGGCAGCACATGCTGAGAAGCAGAAACATGTCTCGTCTTAACTGCAGGAAAAAGGCCAAGCAGTTTGCCGCGGATGAACTTGTCAGCTGCATCTTAAGTTCCTGACAGGTTCGGCTGCCTGCCCGCATGTTGTGTGACATCAGAGCTTGGTCGAGCTTGTAGGTGCTGCGTGTTAATTACTTGTTTCCCAGGATCTTCCAACAGCGGTCGAGTCCTATTTGTAAATCTACAGGCGGAGCGCATGATGCCCCGCACCATCTCAGGTTCACTGAACGGCAACCACAGCTGCAAGACGATGCCTGTGGAAAAGCTTGCTGGGGTTTGTGTCTGGTGGCTCGCGGGCCGAGCGGCTTGTAATTGTAATTGTTTCAGCCCGGAAAGGCATCTCTTTGTAGCAAATCGGCCGGATTTCAGGGTTAAGTTCCCATCGCAGGCGCCCTAACGCGCGAGCTTCGTTCCCATTGCTCCGAGCTTTCCCTTTCGTGCCTCGGCTTCGAAGCTTGGTGCGGCCACAGGCCTGCCGTGGTCTATTTTGGAGTCTTTTGGCAAAACCATGGTTCATCTGTCCACCACTTGCTGCAACAAAACTAGCTAGGCACCTAGGTCGTAGATGCTTGAGGTCAGAAATGCAGGGGCGGGACGGCAAGTGATTGTCGTGGTCGCGCCGGGTGTCACTGGCGACTTGCCCGCTCGGTGCGGGAGCCAAGGCAACACAGTCCGATACTGCCCAACCGTGCCGTACCCCGACAGGTGTTGCGATATGCAACACATCTGATGCTGGTGCCTGAGAGAGGAACAGTGTACGCATTCTCACTGCAATTTCCAAGGCGGAGGTTTATGTGTAGCTGCGGTGTGGCTGACAGCATGAGATGCGATGGCCAATTGATTTGTGCCCTTCAGGTTGTGGACAGCTCACAGGGGTTCAGGCTTCTAGAGAACAGCCAGGCCACACGTGTCACATCGATATTAGCGTCCTGGTAGAGGCCCTCTAGAAGCGTCTAGGATTCAGATCCCGCGGCGAGTCCTCTTCGGAAAGTGTGGAAGCGACAAGGTGTGGCTGTCTTAGGGCGCCAGGTGCTGGTTGTTGCTTCGTTGTGCAGTTGTTGCTGGTACTGTTTTCCATTTATTCGGGTGGGGTGCTCGAGGGATGTCATAATTGTGATGTTGCATGTATGAGGATGTTCTCGTTGACAGTGTTGGAAGGGTGGCTGCGATGGTGACATCCGTGAGGTTGCTTGAAGTTCTTCGTGCACGATGATGGCGATGAGATGTTGTTTATTTGTGCTTGCTGCTACATGGCAATGCGTCTTGTGTTTGTGGGGATCGTCATCTTGGTCATTTGAGTGATGTTGCTGAGTTGGTGGGGAAGCATTGCGGATGGCACTAACATCGTGTCCATTTCAAATGTCGCCCGACACACAGAAGCAACTCATGCACGCATGATCAACAACACCCAAGCATGTCGCATATCTCTAACACATCCACGAGCACCACCAGTCAACAATGATCGCTAAAGTTGCTTTGGCCCTTCCGAAGGTTTGAGCAAATTGAGGTGCGCAGCTCCCACGACGGTTTTAAGTTCTTGAACCCTCCTCCAGGGGTCCTAGAACGTTTAAGATGCGAGAGGCAGGAACGCTTTTGATCAGATCCACCGGCCGTTTCTAACCCGAGCGTCTCGGCCTTTGAGTTTAGGGAGGGTTTTACTGAAGGCTTTGACCCGGCCCCGAGAGCAAGGCCGCTCCAGGCCGGTTTAGGGTTTAGGGTTTAGGGTTTGCTTGTTTTTCTGGCAGGGCTACGGAGTTCAACGTATGTACTCCAGCTTGTTCCTTCGCACATGGAGCAGCCGTTTTTGCAGAAAGCAGATCTTGGCAAACTCCTGCGCGCCGGCTTCGAGTGAAAGGTTGGCCCTCACGATCAGCCGGCGAATCAATCGCAACTGTTTCTTAGTCCGAGCGTTGTCCGAGCTTAAGTTCAAGCCGGAAACGTGTCCTGCAATCGAACTGGCTCAAGACGACAGAGACGAAGCCTTTTGGTCGCACCTCATGCAGTCCTTATACTTGCCCGCTAGCTGATGAACCCAAGAAACGGCGAGGCTGGATTTCAACCACAACGGCTGGATCAGGGAGTCTGGTCTTTGGGATTTCGGGTCTGGTGTTTACGGCTGTTTTACCTTCTTCTTGCCTTCTGCAGATAGGTGCAAGCCGTCAAGATGTTGTAAGCACGATTAGTACGACGTTCAAACCACTGTTCTCAAGTCAATGCTGAAAACAGTTTCGGCGGTTCGGGACGGTTCTAAACTGTTCAGGGACATTGCTGCATATCGTTCCCAAGAGTGCACCGATGATTTTTGAGATTTTGGCAATATAGTTCCGAAGCCCATGCGAGCAGTCATGAGACACAACGGCTGGCCAGCACTCCAAGGCTGCCGATGTGCTCAGAGAGTTGTCCAGTAGCTGGCGTCAGTTTCGGTCTGCGGCTTTGGCTCGCAGGAAAGAGAGCCGAGGCCGGTCCCACGAAAGGGTCCCGCGAGGGGTTTCAGTGAATTGAGTTCTTGAGCCCCCGCGAGGGGTTTAAGTGAATTGAGTTTTTGAGCCCCGGCGAGGGGTTTAAGTGAATTGAATTCTTAGGGTTTAGGGCACGGTTTAAGGTGTACGGTTTGGAGTTTAGGGTTTAGGGTTTGGGGTTTAGGGTTTCGGGTTTAGGGTTTAAGGTTAGGGTTTATAGGGTTTAGGGTTTAGGGTTTAGGGTTTAGGGTTTAGGGTTTAGGGTTTAGGGTTTAGGG